CTAGTTTAAAAAAACAGGCAAAAAAATATGATCACCAAGTCCTTCAAAACAATATAGATAATCAATAGATATGAAAACATTCTTCCTTGCTATTCCTTTCTATTGTTTTCCCATTCTTTATCTTCCTGATTTCTGGACTTAAGTTTATTCCTTCTTTCCTTATTATTTCCTTGGGTTTTTCCATGTCATTTTTTTTTCTTTTTAGTTAAATTCTTACTTTATTTGTTTTTATTCGTTCTTTCTTTTATTTTGATAAGTGTACTTTAATCAATACATTTATCTGTAGTCCACAAGTTTTGCCAGAATTCCTTTTTAAACTTAACTCCATATCTTTAAACTTTTCTCCTATAACTTTCTGTTTAACCAGGATTATTCAATACTCTATGTTTCTTACTTTCCAGATATGTGGATTTTTAAACCTATGTTTTTGATTCCTAGTTTACCTTGAATAATAAAGAGAAAACATGTATATGATAGCAATTCTTTGGAATTTATGGGTTTCCTGGGTGACACAGTGCATAGTCAATTTTAGCTTTCTTCACAGGTGCTCTATAAAAATTTTGTATTCTCTACTCATTTATTCATTACATATATTTAAACTGTTAATTATGTTATCAAAATTTATAAATTTGATTATATTTAATTTATTTAATCTTATAGTATATGTGGATGATTTGTTAAAGTCACCAACTGTTTATTTTTCCTGTCATTATTTTAGTTTCTGTTTTATGTAGCTGAGAGCAATTTATGTAGTGTGCATGTGTTTAAAAATAAAATCATCTTCTTAATACTTATGCTGGCAAATATTTCTTCATGACCCCTTTCATTAGCCTTAAATTCTATTTAATCTAACATTGAAACCACGACCCTGATTTTCTTCTCATTCATGTATGCCTGATATATTTTCTGCTATTTATTTTCAATGTTTCTATATCCTTTCTTTTTAAAAATTTATTTTATTTATTTATTTATTTATTTTTGGCTGCAGTGGGTCTTTGTTGCTGTGCGCGGGCTTCTCATTGAAGGCTTTCTCTAGTTGTGGCGAGTGGTGACTACTCTTCATTGCAGTGCGTGGGCTTCTCATTGCAGTGTCTTGTTGTGGAGCACGGGTTCTAGGCACGTGGGTTCAGTAGTTGTGGCTCATGGGCTCTAGAGCGCAGGCTCAGTAGTTGTGGTGCATGGGCTTAGCTGTTTTGCAGCATGTGGGATCCTCCCAGACTGGGTTCGAACCTGTGTCCCCTGCATTGGCAGGAGGATTCTTAACCACTGCGCCACCAGGGAAGCCATATCCTTTTATTTTCAAAGTGATTCTGTAAACAACACATTCCTGGATCTTTAAGTCTTTATCTTTTGGTCTGTTAGAGTAACTAACTTACATTTATTATAGTTACTATATGGAGTTACTGTAGCCATACTATTTTAAGTTTTCTAATTATCACAGTTTAATTTTGTTTCCTTTCTTTTCTTTTTATTCTCTTTCCTTTCCTACTGGATAGATCAATATTCTACTAATTTGAAAATCATATATTTTACATCTAGTTTCCTAGCAGCTATCCTTTTTTTATTTCCTCTCTCTTTGTCTCCGTCTCCCAAATTTGGGAAACTTTTATTTTTTTTTTAGTATGAAGAGCAAGAGAAACTGACTCTGAGAGCACATAGTATTCCAAATCTTTTCCCTTTGCAAGGTTCTTAGCTTTTGAAACCTGAAAGCTAAGAATGGACTCTTTTGTTATCTGTGTTCTGCTGTGTCCTCATTTCCCTGGATCAGCAAAGATGCAATGCCCTGGCTGCCTGGGCTGGGGGAAGGTCACAGGGAACAAGGAACAATAAGGGGAAAACCCTGATAGTATCTCAAATTGTTTTTCAGTCACAAACACTTGTGCTCTGTTTACTATCTCCAGTCAGAACTCCACCATGATTTTGAAGAGGCATTCTATTATTTTCTAGTATTTTATCATTAGCTAGTGGATATATTTAGTACATTTACATGAAATTATATAATTATTTGGTGTATCACCTCTGTGATAGTAAAATAACCTCTTAATCTTTAGTTTCTTAAGTTCTCATTTGCCATTTATTCAATTCAATTCATTCATTCACTCAGTACTTATTAAGACCCAATTAAGGGTCAGCTATTGTGTTTTCTGCTGGAGGAAAACAGAGCACAAAACAAATAATCCCTTCTCTCAAGATGCTGTCTTTGTGGTGGGGGACACAGACAAACTACCCAGTAATTATAACTGTAATGAGAGCTATAACAGTGAAATGTATTTAAAAAAAGACCCAAGAAGAGAGGGCCCCTAACACTGACTGGGGAAGTAAAAAACAACCTCACAGAAGACATGATTCTTGACTTGGGTCTTGAACAATAGATAAATGTTTCCATAGTGAAAGATGGGGGAAATTCAAGTTGTGGGCATTAGGAAGCAAGACCAATCGGGGAGAGGAAGAAGCTTAGGAAGCCCCATGAAGACCTGAGCATGTAATGCATCTGGGAATGGAAAGGTTGTCTGGGTGAGGGAGTGGGGGAGTGAAGAGCAGCAAATATAAGACTAGAAAGATTCGTGCTTTGAGCTTTAGGAAATGTATCTTCATTTAAAGATTTTTAAGTGGGAAGAAAAGTAGATATTGGGGGAGGGTACAGAATGGAAGAGAGAGATAGAAAGAGAAAACAAGAGAGAGTACATTTGTGCTTGGAAGCAAGGAGACAAGCTAAGAGATTGAGGTGAACCTTTCCAGTCTTATACACTAGCTCAGGCCCTTATACTTCTCATGTAGTGTATAGTTTTTAAACTAGGATTTGACTGAATGTTACAACTTCTAATTAATGCTAACAGCATTATAATATTGGGATATTAGAGGAGCACTTTTTAAAAAAATAAGTGTTTACTTTTGGATATCATAGTAGAGGTGGCTACAAGACTATTCAGGAGATACTTCTTGCAGATTGTTAGAAATGCTTTTCATGAGCATATTCGTTGGCCCTTTTTTGGGCAACAGTGGGGTTGAGAGTGGAAGGGTTGGGGGTCAGAGGATGATTTATTGCCCCACCATTTAGTAAACATCATAGACCTGCATATTCAGTGTAATAGCCGGCAAACATTTAAAATTGTATCATCCTCTTGTCTTTTTCTAAATTCAAGTAATCAAACTATAATTGAACACTTTTTTTATGTGCATGCAATTCTCTAAGCTTCTGCAGGTGATACAATGATGATAAGAAACTAATAGCTTACCATATAGTTCATTCATGCAATAAGTCAAATGTCTAAATGATAATAAAGCAACTTATATAAGATACAATATATACTGTAGTATAATAACATTATCGGACAGGATAGGATAGATTTACAACAAGGTAGCAGACAACTCCACAATCCCAGTGGCTTAACAAAGAAAAAAGTTTATTTCCCACTACAAGAAGTGTGCTGTGTGCCTGGGAGGGTCTCCAAGACAGCTGTCCTCTAGGAACTGGCGCAGCATTCTGGACTGCTTCGATCACGAGGAACCTCCATACTGATGTTTCCATAATGACCACTGAAGGGGAAGTGTGGGGATGGACAGCACGAGAGGGCTGGGGCGTTGATTATTGGCAATTAAATGCTTCTACTCAAAGATATGACCCAAGTCACCTCTGGTCACATTTCACTTCCAAAACACTTCTTAGGATCGTGCCTGCCTTCCCATGTGTCAGGATGCAGAGAGGATCAGGTATTGGTAAACAGTAATAATGCTCATTAATGCACAGTAAGCAAAACATCACAAAAAGGTTACAAAGAGAGGGCTAAGGATGTTCCAGAGCAGGAAACAATCACACTTAGGATGTCATGTAATAAAAGACAATTCTTCTGTGTTTCTGTCAATAAGTAGATGTTTATTGCATCACTTTCTTTCACCAGTAAGAAACGGCCTGCTGGGGCTCCAGATTCATTCCTAGCTCCCAAGCTGGTTGATTTGGTAGAACCCACAAGACTTCCATGCTTTCCCCAGATCTCTGTTCTTTTCTTTCTTTTTTATAGATCTCAGATATGTGGCCTAGGGAAATAGGATCTATATAGGAGTTTCTGGCAAGGTTCTACAAGGTTTCAGTCACATTCGGACAACTTTTCACTACTTTTTAAAAAAAAAAAATTATTTATTTATTTTTGTTTGTGTTGGGTCTTCGTTGCTGCGCGAGGGTTTTCTCTAGCTGCAGCCATCGGGGGCTACTCTTCGTTGTGGTGCGTGGGCTTCGCATTGCGGTGGCTTCTCTTGTTGCGGAGGACAAGTCCTAGGCGCGGGGGCTTCAGTAGTTGTGGCACGCAGGCTCAGTAGTTGTGGCTCGTGGGCTCTAGAGCGCAGGCTCATTAGTTGTGGAGCACGGGCTTAGTTGCTCCACGGCATGTGGGATCTTCCCAGACCACTCTGTGTCCCCCACATTGGCAGGCAGGTTCTTAACCACTGTGCCACCAGGGAAACCCTTCAGTGCTTCTTGAAGACATGGTTCTACTTTGCACAAAAACGTGGTGGTGTGAGTAAACCGAATGAGTGAATCTAACCAATTAATAATGTCTTTATCTTGGAGCTTAAATTCTATCTATAAGGGAGCCATCAGGGTGCACCCAGAAATTCTGCATGGGAATAATGGGAATTGATTGTAGTGATATTACATATAGGATAAAAAATAGTCTCAAGGCTTTATAGACAGTGAGAATACCATTAAAGGAAAAAAAATGAGAGAGAGAGAGAATGGGAGAGTTTTCATTTTTCCTATGAGCCCTTTGGAGAAAATTGGGAACATTTTTGTTTGTTTGTTTTTGTTTTTTTTTGCGGTACGCGGGCCTCTCACCGCTGTGGCCTCTCCCATTGCGGAGCATAGGCTCCGGACGCGCAGGCTCAGCGGCCATGGCTCACGGGCCCAGCCGCTCCGCAGCATGTGGGATCCTCCCGGACCGGGGCATGAACCCGTGTCCCCTGCATCGGCAGGCGGACTCTCAACCACTGCGCCACCAGGGAAGCCCGAAAATTGGGAACTTTAAGGGTCTTTCCCACTTATTTTTGTTTACCTGTTACCTAACTCTTAATTATAATTTAGTAAGAGTAAAAAGAATGAAAGTCCAATTTGCTAAAAAGAAAAAAGAATACTTCTCTTTCTTCTTTAAAATTAGAATGATTAAATTATCCCTAGAATGTTTTTTGAGTTCCCTGGAAATATATATTACTACATAAAAAAGGGTGCGAAATCTCTACACTAGCTCTGAACTGGATAAATACAATGAATAAAATGTATTGGCTGCACTAAAAGCTATGACGATTCATGTTTGTCATACCATGTTATATTTTAAAGGGAAATTGGAGTTAAAAATACTTGATCGTGATTCTGTTCACCGCTCTGCAGTTTACATGTGAGGCTGTTTTCTCCCTGAGCAGTGGTGAAGCAAAAGGCGTAAAGAGATATTTTTAAAAAGATAGTTCAGGAACACTATTGACAAGGAGCATGGGTCGCTTTTGACCCGAGCAGTAACTGCTGATCAGCTGTCCCAGGGCAGGGCGTGAGGGTCGTGTGGTTCTGAAGATGAGGCAGGAAAAATGCGCCCCTTGGACCGGGACAAGGTAGAAGCACCGGCGGAAGTGGAAGTTTTGGGGCCCTAGGAAGACTTGGAGCAGTTCCTGCTTCCAGTCATCCGTGGGGTGCGGGAGGATATGGTGGCTCTCCCACGAGAGTGTACCTGAGGACCAGGAGTAAGTTGTGGAAGATGGATAATATGCTCATGCAGATAGAAATGCAGGTGGAGACCTCGGAGGAGAAAGCCTTGAATCACCTTCAGCATCCCAGTGGGGAAGCTGATGAGAGAGTGCCAGAGTTGTGCCGGAAGGTGGAGGAGAAAGCCAAGGAGATTGCGAAGATGGCAGATTTGATGGTGGAGCTGGTTTGGCAGATAGAGAAAAGCAAATCGTCTTGAAGGAGGGTTGGCTTTCACAGCTGATGGACTCTGGTCCGCTGGTAAGGATGGGCGGATACCTGGAAGAAACTGAAACCGCTCATTTTCTCTATTCAGTTTTTGTATGTTTTTTACTCCCATGTAACAATGTCCCTTAGGGTCAGTGGCTGGTGACCTTGATATGGGTGTAGATTGTGAAATGTATTTGGTTCCTAAAAATAACTTTCTTTTGAGAAATACTCTCATAAGGGAAACAGGGCTTAATCAAAACTTGTTTCAGTTTATTTTTGTTACTTTGCAGTGTTTTGGAAATGTTGGGCATGGCCTTGTATTTTGGTGTTATCATGTGACCTGATTGTTTTCTGGAACTTTGGAACACCCGTGTGAAGACTTGGGGTCAGAATCTTCCAACTTTAGAGGTGCAGTGGAAGGCACTACTTGGATGTAGCTGGTGAAGCAATGTAGGAATGAGATTGCTTTGGATAAGACTGGGAAAAACCAAAAGAGAGTTGGAGATGGAAGACAGTGGGCACATGTTATGGAACTTGAATACCTCTGTGAGACAAAGGAGGAGAGTTATGTTTTGTGGCATATTGTCTCGTGTTTATTGTATAACCTGTCAGGTGCGTTTATTTAGACAACCTATCTGACCCTAAACGACAAAGAAGTTTGAATAGGGAATGATGGAGCGCGCTTTACTATTGTAATATCCTCACACATTACAGAGGTTTAAAAGTATGGCGTCAAAGAGACAATCTACCAAGAGCCTTGAGAGCCTGGAGAAAGGAAAAGTCATATCAGGGCCCATAAAGTCCCTTCTAGGTCACCAGGGCAGTAGATCTGACTAGGATTTGAGGTCAAAATCAAACATGTAACAAGTGTTCATTTGCCTTGAAAAACAAAGACCTAAAAAGCCTTAAAATTGTTTTTCTTTTTGTGCAGATGACCAAAGCACCTATGTGTGTTAATAAAAAAATCATAAATAAATTTCTTTTGAAATGGAAAAGAAATTTCATCGTAATTTCGTGATTTAAAACACGAGTATTTTTTTGGAGATTATTAGGAAATAATATTCAGAAATTATGATGCAGGCTTTAGAAGGAATTGAAACCAAGCAAATATGATTAATTAAATAAAAAAAAAAAATCCCAGCGCCCCGTTGAGAGTGGTCCCCTCTCCAGAGGGCAGCAGAGACGCCCAGAAGAAGACGGAGATATCGGTGACCCGGGAGATGATGAGTTGGTCCGGACAGTGCCGGCGCCGGGCGCAGTATTGCTGCCTGAGGGGCGGGTTGGAGGGGCGGTCTGGGATCGCGGCCGGAGAAAGAGGCGAAGAGGTGACTTCACAGATAAGCTTTTATAGGCACCACTCTCCGCCCGCCGGACGGGAGGCGGGGTGGCAGCCCGATTAAAGAAGCAGCCTGGAAGGAAGGAAGAAGCGAGGGAGGGACGGGAACAGTTGGAGGAGGAGCAGCGAGCTGGGCTGCGGCGACCGGAGGAGGAGCGGCCCCCGCGAGGCCACGTTTTGTTTTTGTTATTTTCCATCGAAATAGTTCTCGCAGGCCCTCCCAGAGAACCGATCGCGCCGAAGCCCGGGAGCCCCGACCTTCCAGGTGACAGCTGGTCACCCTGGTAGGAGTCAGCTCCGCCCCAAGTCACCCCCTCCGGCGCACAGCCCATTCCCCGCCCTGCCTCCCAGTGCCCGCCCGGGGCGAGCGCGGCGGCCGCAGCGGCTCTGCAGCGCTGGAACCGGCGGCGACCGGCGGAGGCGCGGGGCCCTCGGCGTTGTCCTCTGACCCAGCGGAGCCGCGGACGAGGAAGGGGGAAGTGCGGCCCCAGGCTCGAGCCGGAGAAAGGAGGATAGCGATTTAACCCGCCCTCTCCTGCCAGTCCTGCTGCCGGGCTCTCCCCGGGTGCCCGCCGCCAGAGCCTGGGAGCCGCGCCCGAAGTGCCGCATGGGGCAGGGCCACTAAAGCGCGGAGTTCGGGGTCGCGCCGAGGCGGGCGCAGGGGCCCAGCGCGGCTGTTGGCACAGTTTCGGCGGCGCCTTCAACGCGAGAACTGGGGGCGCGGCGCGCCGATCCGGCCGCCTCCGTGCCCTCGGGAGGCGCGAGTTATGGAGCCCCCCAGCTGCCTTCAGGATGAGCCGTTCCCGCACCCTCTGGAGCCCGAGCCGGGCGCCACTGCGCAGCCTGGCCAGGGGAAGCCGGGAGACAAGAGGTTCCGGCTGTGGTACGTGGGAGGGTCGTGCCTGGACCGCAGGACCACGCTGCCCATGCTGCCCTGGCTCATGGCCGAGATCCGCCGGCGCAGCCAGAAGCCCGAGGCGGGCGGCTGCGGGGCGCCGGCGCCCCGCGAGGTGTTCCTGGTGCTCAGCGCGCCCCTCCTGCGCTGCGTGCCCGCGCCGGGCGCCGGTGCCGCTGGGGGCTGTGGCCCTACGGCCGCGCAGCCCAACCCGGCAGTGTTCATCTTCGAGCACAAGGCGCAGCACATCTCGCGCTTCATCCACAACAGCCACGACCTCACCTACTTTGCTTACCTGATCAAGGCGCAGCCAGACGACCCGGAGTCGCAGATGGCCTGCCACGTTTTCCGCGCCACAGACCCGAATCAGGCAAGACGGCGGTTCGGAGGCACGGGGGAGGGTCCATCACACCCGGGAGAAGTGGCAGGGCTGCAGGCGCTGGGACCCCACGTTAAAGACCGACTCTGGTCCAGCTCCTGGCGCGCGCCTTCCACGTGGCGCGCTTGAGCGCAGGCTGGTCCCGCTCCTGGGACCCCGAGTCCGGAGCTTGCTTCTGGCGGCAGTTCCTTCCCCGCAGGGCCGAGGAAGAGGGAGGGAGGCGGAGAGTGGTCTCGGGACAGTGGAGGAGCTGGTGCGCCCTAGGAGAATGCGGGAGCAGCGCGCGTGCCGGGAGGATCTCGATGTCTTGGGGTGTGCCTGGAGATGGCATCCCCGGCCTTGGCCGAGTGTGTGCGTGCGTGCACGCGTGTGTTTAAGAGGGAAAGCGGGAGAGGGTTGGGTTCCTAGAGGCCCCCGCACACACTCTCGGTCTTGGCCGAGTCCGGCACCTTGGCCCCTTAGGACAGTCGCATCCTTAGGACAGCAGCACCTGCAGATCTTGGATCTGGGAAGCTGTTTTGGAGCCCGGCTTAGAGAGAAGTTACTAGACGTTGTCAGATTGTCAGCAAAATACGAATCTGCCTTTAGATTTTGAGTGGAAAGACTTTTTTTTTTTTTTTTTTTTTTGCAGTTTTTTCCACACTAAATGGAGACAGAATCAGTACCTACCTGGGTGATTTAAAAATCAGTGTTGTAGAAGAGGTGAACATCTCTTTTCTAATATTTCTCCAGAGTTTACTAAATCAAGGTGCCTGTTACCAAACTGCGTTTTACTTCCTTAAAAAAAACGGACACAGTCCTTTTTCCTCTGGAGAGTTATCTAAACAGTCTTTACTACAGTGATTGTGTCTTGAAAAACAGCACCTCCCCCTTTTTAAAAAATGTGTAAGGAGTTTACCATATCAAAAGCCCCCCAGATGCTGTTATTTATAATAATTACTGACTGTTTGGGCAAAGTACTTTAAATTCTTTGGGAAAATAGTGTTGTCTAAATATAAATAAATAAAGTCTCAGTTGTACTATGTGGCGGGTTTCTTTAGCAGCTGGGAAATTAATAGTCAGATGAGAAAAACTTCCTATAAATAAGACTTTAATTTTTGAAAATTCATGTATTCTAGTATCTGTAATTGAAAGACTGTCCAATAGTTTTTCACAAAAAGGCCTGTAGCTGAGCTGAAGAAAATAAAGCTCATTGTTTTAGATTCCATCAGTTACTTTGTAAACTAGTTTAATATATCCTAAGGGCTCAGAACTCCCAATATTTTAGTTAATGTTACCGCTGTTACGTTATGGTAAAATACCTTATCACAGATGATCTCAGGATTCTAACCATGATTAAAATGAATTTCATTTTATGCTTATTTGTTAAAAATTTATTTTTAGCTTTCACCTAGGTTGAAATTGGAGTGCAGCATGTTCTTTATTCTGAACGTTATCACCATCTTTATTGTATTAAGATTTTTGGGTTCTGTCAGTAAGGTGGAAGTGGTTGCATTTTTCCAGGACTTTAAGGAATGTTTTATGATTCTTGGTGGTTATTTTCTTCAGATCTGATGCATGACACATCATTGCTAATTTCATTGATGGTCAAAGTTTGTTTATGGGTTATGGCACCTTAAATTCTCAACAGTGGCTGTTGAGTCTTCCCTGGCCTCATTGGAAGGTCAATTAAAATATCTCATTTTATTTACTTTCATTTTGTATTTTGATATTAGAGGCTGGATGCGCTCTTTACAAATAATAACATGCTTAGGCTTATTTCCCCCCTTTGGTCCTGTAGGAGCAGTGGAAGCCATATGGCTTTTTGATAAAAGAAAAAACAAACTTTTCCTGTTTATTGCCATTTCCCAGTTGAGTCTTTGATCTGAAGATATAGATTCCTATTTGCTCCAAACCTAGAGAGCCCCTGGCAGAGGATCATTAATTTGAAATGCCAGTTGTTGTCTACCTAAGGATTATCTCCAGCTGTAGATCAGGGGTTACAAACTCAAACTGAGGGGAAGAAGGTTGAGTGAGGGCCATAGAGGACTAGATAGAGAGGTCCTTTCTCAAGCTGCTGTTAGCTCCAACTGGAAATTACATGATCAGAATATAAGCCCAGCGTGGCCGGAGCTTCGGATTTCTCAAGAGAAGATGGAAATCTGGAGTTTTATGTATGAGTCCACATTTTAAAGTATCAGCAAATATTTTAAACATACAAGAATCCTATCTGGGCTAAACAAAACACATCTGAAGGTTGGCTTCAGAGATCTAAGGGCTGCCACGTTTGATCTTGGGCGTAAATATTTGTTGAGTGGACAAGTGCAGTCATTAGATACTGAGTACTGTTTGTCACATTTCCTATTGAAATAGTGGGGAGAGTTAGGATAATTTGGGGGGGAAAATTTATGAGTCAAACTCCCAGAAGTGATGATTCTGCAATTGAACTTGTTAGAGGGATGGATTCATCACAGTATTACCGTCTAGTAGTATGCCTAGTATAGAGTAGAACAGTATTACCATCTAGTAGTATGCCTAGTATAGAGTAGAACCTCTGGATCATTCTGAGCACGTTTGAGATGAGAAGGAAGAGGACCTGCTGTTTGCTTTGCTGCTGAGTTCTACATTTGAAGTAGAGAATTTTTTAGTTGGACTTTAAGATTATTGTTAAGTCTCCTAAGTATTTTCTACAGTCACTGAACAAAATATTGGAAGGTGGCCTGGAGCAGAAAGGCCTGAAAACATCCCCAAGTAAACTTGCCTCTGCTTTGTCTGTCATGCCTGTCTCTTTTCTGAAATGGGCCTGTCTGTAGGATGACCATATAA